GGAGCAGGAAAGCTGATGTTTCAGGTCTGGACCCTTCTTCAGAAAGGTCCAGACCCGAAACGTCAGCTTTCCTGCTCCTCTGATGCTGCCTGGCCTGCTGTGCTCATCCAGCTCCACACCTTGTTTCACTGAGATGTGTTTACAGATTTAAATAAGGATATATTTGAGATTCTAGGGTGTACAAGAGGACAGTACGACATCAATTCGGTTGGAAACATAAAACTGGACAGGAGTAGGCCATTTGGTCCTTCAAGCCTGCCCCACCATTCAATATGATCATGCCTGAACATTCAACTCAGTACCCTATTCCATAAAGAATATTCCACAAAGAATTCCATAGGTTTGCCACTCTTTGCATGAAGATATTTCTCCTTATCTTAGTACTAAATGGCCTACGTCCTTAAACTGTGACCCCTGGTTCTGGATTTCCTGGTCACTGGGAACATCCTTCCTGCGATTACTCTGTCTAGTCCTGTTAGAATTTTATATGTTTCTATGAGATCGCCCCTCATTCCTCCCAACTCCAATGAATATAGTCCTAACCAATCCAGTCTCTCCTCATACATCAGTCCTCCCATCCCAAGAATCAGTCTGGTTGACCTTCATTACAATCGCTCCATAGCCAGAACATCCTTTCTCGGATAAGGAGAGCAAAATTGTGCATAATACTCCAGATGTGGTGTCACCAGGGCACTATATAAGTGTAGCAGAACACCCCTACTCCTGCAATGAAATCTTCTTGCATTCAGGTTAACATACCATTTTACTTCTTCACCACCTGCATGCTTACTTCCAGCAATGGGTGTACAAGTACACACAGGTCTGACTGCATCTCCTCCTTTCCCAATATACCAGTATTCAGATAATAATCTGCCTTCTTGCTTTTGCCAAAGTGGATAACCTCACATTTACCCAAATTATACTTCATCTGCCATGCATTTGCCCATTCACTCAACTTGTCCGAAACACAGTGAAGCACCTCTGCATTTTCCTCACAGCTCATCCTCCCACCAGCTTTGTGTTATCTGCAAACTTGGAGATATTACATTTAGATCCCTCATCTAAATAATTAATACATGTTGTGAATAGCTGGGGTCCAAGCACTGATCCCTGGTCACTGGCTGCCACTCAGAAATGACCCATTTATTCCTACTTATTATTTCCTGTCTGCCAACCAGTTCTCTATCCATGTCCGTACAGCACCCCCAATCCCATGCACTTTAATTTTACATGCTAATTTCTTATGTGGGACCTTATCGAATGCCTTCTGAAAGTCTAAATAAATCACATCCGCTGGTTCCCTTGATCAACTCTATTACATTCTCGAAAAGTTCCAACAGATCTGTCAAACATGATTCCCTTTTGAAAATCCATTCTGACTCTCTCCAAATCTGTTACTGTTTTTCAAGTTTTTAAAGTAAAATCTTTTACTAATTACTCTAGCATTTTCCTGACTATCAATTAGTGGGTTTACATTAGTTCCCTTCAAACTACAGGAACTGTTCCAGAATCTATAGAATCTTGAAAGATGACCATCAATTCTAGGGCTATTTCCTTAAGTACTCTGGAATGTAGATTTTTGGGGCCTGGAATTAATCGCCCTTTAGTCCCATTAATTTTCCCTACATCATTTTCCTATTAATTTTCTTTGGATCCTCCCTCTCACTAGACCATGTGTTCCTCAACATTATTGGGATGTTATTTATGT